CTTTCGTCAACTTGGAAATTCTGTAGGACCATGTGCCTGGCACACTTAGAAAATGAGTGATGACCAAGTCTGCTAATGTGCAGACAACGGTTTCCCTGGTACTTGCTGGACTCTACTCTGCTCTGGAGATAAAATTCCAGCAGCTGCTCCTCCCAGCCCTGAAGCCATGTCCTGCCTGTTTGTCCCCAGACAGGTGATTACAGATGGGCGGTATATACAACTCAAGAATGCAAAAAGGGTATTTGATTTCTGGCCTTTGTATGTTTTTACAAATTGCAGCCATTAAATAGTTGATTACTGTGTTGATTTCAATACTCCAGAAAGCTTTCAGATAAAAAAATAAAGGTTTACGTTACCATGATAAAGCTGGGGTTGTTTCTGTTCCTCCAACTGAAGGACGGGACGCTCACCTCGGGGACTCCTCCAGGATGGAGCACCTCACAGGCGCTGTGTGTGTGGCCACTCAGAACCAGGCGAGGCTGGAGCCACCACAGCAGCTGGCAGCCAAGGAGATGCAGGTTGACAGTTAATGCTCAGACTGGAAGGAATACCCCCATGGCTATTATCAAATAAACAATAATCCTTAATAGGTAGGGTTGACTTGTTTTTCCTCATAATCCCTATTTCTAGTAAACCTTAGAATCCATGCTTCCTATCACAGGCTGGTATATATTTGTTTGTTTTGTTTTTTTGAGACTGGGTTTCTCTGTATTGCTTTGGAGTCTGTCCTGGAACTCGCTCTGTAGACCAGACTGGCTTCAAACCCAGAGATCCACCTGCCTCTGCCTCCTGAGTGCTAGGATTAAAGGCATGTGTCACCAACACCCAGCTATGTTTACTTTATTTTTACAAATTTGTTTCATAAAGATTTTCCACAAACATATTTATATTTAAAATGTAAATGTATACTTACATTTAGTATTTATATTTACATTTTAATATATTTCTGTTATAATTTCTAATTGAGTCACCCCAAATTAGAGTCTAAATTTCATTTAGGTTGACTTAAAAATGCTTAAGGTAACAATTAGCCAAGAATGTAATTTTAGTCTGTGGCCATAACACCCTGAAAGCACCCGATCTTGTCTGATCTCGGAAGCTAAGCAGGGTCGGGCCTGGTTAGTACTTGGATAGGAGAATGTAATTTTAATTGAGATTAGGAAATAGTGGATCTACCAAAGAGCAAAGGAACAAAGCAATTGGGCTGAAATCTGAGATGGTGCCAAAGCCCTCCTCCCCCTTCCTGCAGCTGGTAACCACAAGGGCCCTGTGTGTTTATTCCGCTGGCCCCATGTGACACTGGCATGAGGTCACATCACCACACACCTTTTGTGAAGCCTCCCGAGAAAGGACATCATATTTCTCCTCGAAGGGGACGTTCCTTTCCTCCGGAGGAGCTGCATCTTCACCAGAACAATTAGCATCACTGGCCCGATAGAGCGGGTAGTGCTGTCCAGGATTAAAGTGGCATCAGTGAGACTCTCAGAGGCGAAGCTGGCAGGACTTAACTTCCTCCCCCAGCTCACCTGCAGCAGCACGGGGGCAGAAAAGGGGAGCCGCTGCTCCCCTTCACACTGGCTGGATCCCTGCACCTGCAGGTCAGAAGTCACCCTGTTAATCCAACCAACCCGGTGCTAACCCACTGGGAGAGGGAGGGGGGCTGCGTGACTGACAGCCAGTGCATGACTGTGAAGCCTTTGGAAGACAAGAGCACAGAAGCCTCTGCTGTTCCAATGGTTTCCTACCTCTCGGGAGCAATTCAGTTTACGAGAAATCTCTCTGAGTTCAGCTTCCGCTTCAGAGCAGATGCTACAACCATCCCCTTCCATTGCGACGCTGTTGACCATCACAAAACTGAGGCAGACAGGAGCAGGCAGAAGGTCAGGCCACTGGACACATGTGTGAGCCTCTTTTCCCATTGTCCCCATGGAAACAACGTTATGCATCCATAGTGTGATAAAGCAAGCCCAACAGAAGCTTAATCCCAGCTAAACTAATTATGAGTTAATACTGACAAAACAAAATCAGCATTATGTCCAAGATTCGATGGAAGCTGGGCTTGTTTCTGTTGCTCCAAATGCAAGGACCAACTTGTATCTTGTGGGAAATCCTACATAGGGTCTGACTAGCCCTCAATCCAGCATCCAGATAGAAGTGTGTCCTTGGGCAAGCTCCTGAGCCTGTCTCTCACCTATGCAGGTATGTGAAGACCAGGAAGCCTACATCACCTGGTGGTGAAGGGTTAGTGAAACAACGTGCCTTGTGCTCAGAACAGCAAACTCTAAAGCAGACCTGGGAAGCTCACAGGACACACACAAAACAAGGAACATTCAGGACCAAGTGCTAATTGATGCCAAAGTGGGCTTGGTTAATTCTTAACTGGCTAGCCTCTACCTTTGTCACATTTTTATGGACACCCATAAAAATATGCTTTTATGTCCTGTGTTCATAGCACCAGGGCATGGGAAAGGTACTTGTCAGCAAACCGCTTAAAATGTAAACAGTTTTTAGTACAGGGAGCTGAAGTAGCCTTAAATCTGGTGGGCATGTATAAATTCTGAAGTTAGGCAGAAGTAACTCTGTGACATCAGTCCTGTGGCTATGCAGAATAGGAAGGTATTGCTAAAGAGACTGTCCTCTACCCCGCAGCAGGGTTACAAAAGAAGAGTACTGGTGGAAACCCCATAAGACACTCATCCCTAGCTCTATACAGTGATGGCCTCACTGCATCACCATCAACAGAGTTCTGAGACCACAGAGGGGACAGGACTAAAAAAAGAGGCTCCCTCCACTGTGTGGACTAGAGCAGGGGACACAGTCTCGGAGGTTGTACTGCCAACAACACAGAAAAGCTCATGGCCTGGTGGGGGTAGGGCATTCAATGACCAGACGCAGGGCTTGGCTTCTCTCTTCTAAAGTTCAAGGCTTATGAACTAAGAAGGCAGAGAGAGCTACAAAAACACCTGGACACACTTGGCACCAAATGCCAATACAAATACACTTGGATCAAATGAGAAGGTGCTTCATGCTGTACACAATGCCATGCGCCTACAGTCCCAGCTCATGAGTTTGTCACAGCATGGACAGCATAGCAAGACCCTGTCTACAAAAGCAAAATGGAAAGAGCCACAGAAACACCAGGACAAAGTGGGATGTTGAATGTCTAACACTTGGGACAGTGCAGACAGAATGCCACGCTCACTGGGAATGGGAGGAGTCAGACTGATTTGTTCCCTGTGGCTAGTTCTAAATTTCCCATCTGTCAATTCCCACAGTGACCATCAGCAAGCAAGGTACCAGGTAACACAGGGCATGGGTCTGCCCATATGATGGCAACCCCCTTTGGATAAAAATGGATTTGAGCTGGGGACACAGTTCACTGGAACGGTCTCAGTCTCTGGGCTTCACCCCCAGCACCTCATTTTTTTTAAAAAAAAGAAGTTTCATAAGAATTCATAGATAATACTCACTTAACTCCTTTCCAAGAGAACAGCCTTTCTGAGCTGAACACTTTCTCAAATCGTTTTATTCTGTATTTACTCATCCTGTATCCAATTACAAAGAGAGACACTTTTCAGGTCAAACTGTCTTAGCACTGTGGAGTTACCATGAACATGAAAAATAACTTCCACAATCTGGCATTAATAACTGGCCTCAGGCAATTGAGGCTCAAAGGTCAGGTCCACTGGCTATTGTGAGGGGAGAGTGAGTTACTTAGTTCCCTGGGACCTCAGTGGAACAGTAAGCAACAGGACAGGAAAAAGAGAGAAAGTAAGTACCTAAAATGACTGCCACATATGCGTCCTAGCACACTGTCATGTGAGCTAGCAAAGGGTATGTGGACTTATATTCTGACTTCTAGTTCGACATGAAGTATACATTTTCATCTAGAGGTTGAAGGCAGGAGGACTGCAAGTTTGAGGGCCACCCTGAACTACAGAGTAAGAGTGAGTCTCAAAAAAGAAAACAAAAATAGGCAGGTGTGGTGACTCCTGTCATCCCAGCATGTGGGAGCAGAGGCAGGCAGAGTTTGGGGTCAGCCTGGTCTACACAGCGAGTTCCAGGACAGCCTGAGCTACACAGTGAAACTCCGCCTTGAGAAATAATAAATAAGATTAATTAATTACATTTTAAATTAGATTCTTCTCATTCTGGCACATACAACTCATTCATGCCAGATATTTGTTGAAGGTGCAAATATGCCAAAAAAATCTTTTTAATTCCTTAAGGAGCCTCCATTTAAGAATTTCCATCTTTGAAGGAAAACAGATTTCTTCAGTAAAACACAAACATGACTTTCTCCAAGTCTTAACAACTTTAAAATGCTGATAATGTTTGATCAAACATTCTTGGGGCGCAATTCTTCCCCACACTACTTACTGATAGTGGAAGCCAATGTCATGATTGCCAATGACCACCTTCAGCTGCACATGGCTACCATGCCTGAATATCTTCCGAAACCGTTGCACGTCATCTGCCCAGGCCTGAGGAAACAAGAACCACAGCTGAGAGCCTCAAGCCCTGTCCCTCTGGCAAAAACAGGACCCTGGTTTGTCTGGAAAATGAAACCCCTCCTCCACACCAAGACAACGGTTTTTTGTTTTGTTTCATTTGGTCTTTTTTTTTTTTTTTCTTGGTTTTTCAAGACAGGGTTTCTCTGAGTAGCTTTGGAGCCTATCCTGGCACTCACTCTGGAGACCAGGCTGGCCTCGAACTCACAGAGATCCACCTGCCTCTGCCTCCCGAGTGCTGGGATTAAAGGCGTGGGCCACCAACGCCCAGCTCATTTGGTCTTTTGAGACAGGGTTTCTCCGTGTAGCCCTGGCTGTCCTGGAACTCACTTTGTAAACAAGGCTGGCCTTGAACCCAGAGATCTGCCTGCCTCTGCCTCCCTCTGCCTCTGGGATTAAAGGTGTGCACCATCACTGAGGGCCCAAGTTTTAGTTCTTTTTCCAAGACATCTATTTGCAGCCGTGGTAAATGCAGTAGAATTTTCTACAAGAAGCTGAGGATATTTCCACTTTGGGACTCGGCACTCAGGGAAGCCAGGATCATGGGAAGCTGTTAGGATTAGTTAAGTGTCCACATTTTAGACTTAAGAGAAAGGCATCAAGGAGAGGCTGTGTAAGTGTCTTGGCAGCTTTATGTATGGTTTTGTGACTTTTGAAGTCACGTTGTTCAAAAGATGTCATTTGCAACAAGGTTCAAAGATTAAGTTTTAAATTAGGTAAAATAAACATGTGCTAGCATATGCATTTCTCCGAAGAATGTCCAGCTTCAGGCACGGTGGCCCATGCTTGCAATTCCAACATTCCACAGGCAGATGCAGGAGGAGGATCACCTGTTAGTTGAAGCTTTAAGCCAACCTAATCTATAGAGTGAGTTTCAAAGCAGCCAGAGCTAGACCCTGTGTCTCAAAAACAAAAATAAAAATAAAACAGAAATTTCCTTTTGCGAATGAAATTATAAGTTAACTTACGAGGGCTACTGTTCAAAAGCTTAGGGAGGAGAGAACAATGTTGGTAGGTATCCAGGTTTGCTTCAGCTGTGATATAACACTCAACCAACAGCAACTTGGGGAAGAAAATAAGGGCTTATTTTTTTATTTATATATTTATTTTGGTTTTTCGAGACAGGGTTTGGAGCCTGTCCTGGAACTCACTCTGTAGACCAGGCTGGCCTGGAACTGGCAGAGATCCTCCTGCTTCTGCCTCCTGAGTGCTGTGATTAAAGGCGAGCGCAACACTACCCAAGAGGGCTAATTTTAATTTACAGGTTATAGTCATTCACCAAGGGAAGCTGCAATGGGACCTCATAGCAAGAACCTGGAGACAGAAACTGAAGGGAGACCACAGAGAAACAACCATTACTGACTTGCCTCCAGGCTCACCTACCTTTCTTATACATCCGGGGTCACCGTAAGAGGTGGCACTGCCCACAGTGAACTAGATTTCTCCATCTATTAGCAGTCTGGAAAATACTCCCAGGGCCAGTTTCTTAAGTGAGGTCCCCCTCCTCCCACATGTCTGTAGTTTGTGGCAAGCTGACAAAACCTAACCAGCACCACAGGATTCACTGCAAAAGTCAACACTCTCACCTGACAGCTCCAAGGGAAACGAGTCTTATGTCTTTGACAGTTTCCCCTGATTTTGTCACTTTTTAAGTTTTTGACCAAGGTTACTGGAGGGATGGCTCTGCTGCTCTTGCAGAAGACCTGCCTGGGTTTGATTCCTAGCATACAATGTAGCAGCTTAAAATCACCTGTAGCTACAGTTCCAGGGCATCTAAGCATCTAACATCCTCTCCTGGCCTCCAAAGGCACTGCACACACATGGTGCAGGCAAAGACTCAAACACACAAAATCTAAAAAAAAAAAAAAAAATACTCAATAGGTATAGTGGGGTTCCTTTCCCTTTACAGCTCCCCTTAATTCTCCTACCTTTCTTTTCTTTGTGTGTGTGTGTGTGTGTGTGTGTGTGTGTGTGTGTGTGTGTGTGTGTGATATAGGTACACATATGCCATGGCATACATGTAGAGGTGAGGGACAATTTCCAAGAGTCAGATCTCTCCTTCCACCATGTGTTTCAGGGGTCAATTTCCCCCTCCTTCTATTGTCTCACTTCAGTACTTTTCACCTGGTATTTAAAGCATCTTAACTGTGATCCCCCAAATAGTTTATTTCAATACCTCTGAAGACCATGAAGGACCTGGTTTGAGAAGCATCTCTGATCTGGATTGTTACAAGAACAGACCCAGGCCCAGTGGAAACCCTACTGCTATTATTCTGCTAAATGAATATAGCAGTAAAGTGAGTCTAAATGGTATATTGCTATGCCCATAGTACACAGCAGTAAAATGAGTCTAAATGGTATATTGCTATGTCCATATTCATAGCAGTAAAGTGAGTCTAAATGACATACTGCTATGCTTATAGCTCAAAGCATCATTCAGCCCTCAGCAGAGAAGCAGCTTCCTGCCGTAGGTGCAAATTAACAGAGACCCACAATGCAAAAAATGTGGAGAGAAGAGTGGGGCTTTAGAGGACTCAGCCCTAAATGGATGTCTTTATCACACCCCTCCCCTCAAGGCTGACAGTAGAAGAGATAGAAAGATTGTAAGAGCCAGGGGCAGTGGATGATTTTAAGGAAAAGGGTCTTTCCAGACACAACAGGGCAGATGCACATAGGAACTCAGACTGTAACAGTGTGAACAAGACCTGCACAAACTCAAACCAGACAAAACTCCCAGCTCCTAGGAGGGGTAGTCCCACCCTTAGCTAAGGAGTCAGTCACAAGTGACCCCTGCTGGGAGAGGGAAAATCAGTTTTCTCCAATGGAGTGACAATGGGAATACCAACCACACTCCAGGGAGGCCCCACGCTCAGGAGTAGTTGGCCAACACAAATTAGACTCCATGTTTTTTAGTGGCTTTATTCTTTTGTTTTTGTTTTTTGAGAGACTGTGAAATTGACAGGGGAGGTAGGATCTAGGAGGAGTTGGGAGCTGGGAAAGAGCATGATACAAATATACTGTATGAGGGCCAGAGAGATGGCTCAGCGGTTAAGAGCACTGGCTGTTCTTCCAGAGGTTCTGAATTTAATTCCCAGCAACCACATGGCAACTCACAACCATCGCTAATGAAATCTAGCACCCTCCTCTAGCATGCATGCATACATGCCGAGAGAGCACTCATAAAATACACACATATATAAATTTTAAATATATGCTGCATGAAGTTCTCAAAAATAAATGTAAAAATAAAAAAAAAGAGAGAGAACAGACCCAGTACATATCAAGTCAATCTTCACACATCTCAACCAAGACAGAGATGGTACCATCCTTCAGAATCCACTGTGAGAAGAAAAAATTAATGACATCTGGGAGAAGAGAAGACAGAAGATGTATATCACAATAAATATGTCAGGAATATTCAGACATTTGCATTCAGTATTAAAGATCCAGAGTTATGTTAGTATAGTTCTCTCTCTGATAAGCCTAAGAGTTTCAACTGAACAGATAACCAAAGGTAGGCAAAAAAAAAAAAAAATTCAAGATAGCAATCATCTTTAAAAAGTTGAAATACAGCACTATCTAATGAAATAATCAGATAGAGTCCTTCAATATAGTTATAAAGGCTCATTTAACAAGATGTTTAAAGCTAGAGCAACAGAAAATCAGGATTTAAAAACTTAGAAAAATCCTGAGATATTGCTGTTAATGTTCAAAAGCCACACATAAAGCTGAGCTCACTGTGTAGGTGGTTGCTTTTACATACAGCTTTTCCAGTGGTCCTCAAACTGTGGGTCTTGACCCTTTTGGCAACCTTCTATCTCCACAAACATTTACATCATAATTCATAACAGCAGCAAAATTACAGTTATGAAATAGCAACAAAAATGATTTTATGGTGGGGGGGTCACCACAGCATGAAGACCCGTATTAAAGGTTCACAGTTTGAGAACCACTTTTACATTTTATTTATTTATTTATTTATTTATTTATTTATGTGTGCCATTCTTTCTTTCACCCTGTGGTCGACAGGCTTGGCAGCAAAGCACCTTTATCCACTAAGCTCTCTGTCCAGCCTCTAAGACTTTAACAGCTTTTGGACTGTTCTAGAAAATGCAAATGGATTATGATTATTTCCCAATAAAAAAATCCCTTCTAAACTGCTGGAGCATATGAAGGGGCCAGACCTGCAGATCCAAAGCTGCAGGATCTCCATGACACAAGGCAGCAACAGGGTATCTAAGAGGAGTCCCAGGGAAGGCCCATTGAGGGTGTAGCAGAAGCCAGAGGCCTGGAACCAGACCAATGACTCATTGCAATGAACAAGTAAAGATGTGATTCACTGGGCCATACTACAGGTTGGTTTTGGGGTTTTTTTGTATGTTAGTTTAGTTGTTTTTGTTCTGGGAGTTTTTTGGTTTGGTTTTAAATTTTATTTTACTTTGGGGGCAGTTTGCAGAGGGCGAAATGAAGGGACGAGGAGATGGGTGGAATCCAGATGCATGGCGTGAAAGCTACAAAGAATCAATTTTTTAAAAATCCTTTCTAAAAATAAATTAGTAGCTGAATATTTTTAAATCAGCAGCAAGAACACTCCTCACTTAAGAACATAGTAAGCAGAAAACTCAGACAGCTCTCTCCTTTTGTGGAAAGACATACATCATCCCCTTACCGAGCAGCAGTCTCAGGCCCCGAGTACAGGGAACCTCACACCAGGTCCCTGCAGCTCTTCTGCAACACTAACTCAGAAGAAAGGAGAGCAGAGGACAATGGCAAATAACTAATTCCCACGATGGAAACAGGAGGATAAAATTAGGCTCAGGACCGTAGCTCGGTGATAGAGTGCTTGCCTAGCACACACGAGCCAGTGTCCAATCCCCCATGCCATGTATGAAGTTAATGTAAATCTCAGCATGTACCCTGTAATTCCAATAAAGGGGAATTAGCACCATCTTACCTGTTTCTACTTTTTCCCAGGTTATAGGACTGTGTTCCAATTATATAAATGATATCAGCCTAACCACATTATTTCATACATAGATAATAAAAGATTAGACAACCTAACGAAAGACTAGCATTGGGCAAAACCCCTAAGGATCTTCAAGATAGACTATATTTGAGAGCTAGGGACTAAACTGAGGGCCCCACACATGCTAAGTACCCACTCCATTGGTGAGTGACCAACATCCCTGGCCATAGGATCATGCATTCCCAAGAACAGAATTCAGAAAAACTCACAAGCCAAACCTCTAGAACTTCACAGACTATCTGGGCTGCCGAAGCGAATCCCTGAGGCAGAATTAGAACCCAGATCCTACCTCAGTGGTGCTCCACTTCCCTTCATCAAAGATGTCCCCCAAAATGAAGATGACTTCCGGTTGCAGCCACCACAGAGCTGTCTGAAAGGCTCTCTCCATTTGCCACTCCCTTGAGAAAAATTAAAACATCGGTCCGTTTCTTAGGTGAAGGAAGCTACTTGTGCCGTCTCAGTCATTTAGAAGGTGTGGTAGTGCCTATCTTTAATCCCAGCACTTGGAAGACAGAGGCAAGCAGATTTCTATGGGTTTAGCGTCAGCCTAGTCTACATGGCAAGTTCCAGGACAGCCATGGCTACATAGTGAGAGCCTGTTACAAATAAGTAAGTGAATTAAATAAATGAATAGCAAAAGCAAATACAAAGAATTAAATGGTCCCATTCTCTGTCTCCCATGGCTCTAATCTTCATTTCCAACCATCAGCGTTGGAACAACCAATTGACTTGCATCTGATCAAACTTAGGGACTTTTAGGCTATCCTTCCCTCACCCCCAAATGCCCTGATACCATCAGTCCAACAAGAGAACTCCGCCCACAAGCAGCTCAAAACTGTCCGTAATCCAGTTCCAGGGGCTCCTTGAAGGGACTCTGGCCAGCCTGGGTATAGCAAACATGGCTCTGGCAGGCCTTGCCTTTCTCCCCGATTCCCTCTGCCCTGATAAAAACCGTTAGATTATATTCCTAAAGCTAGCCACTGGGGTCTATTATTCCCTTATTTGACCACTTTCTCCTCCTGAGGCTGACTACCAAACTCCTGCTACCAGAGTATTGAAGTGCAGCAATCAAAATACCCCTTGACCCACCTAATCAGCATGCCCAATTAAAATCAAACTCCTCATCCTAACACAGGCTTCCCCTTTTTCCTTTGTAAACCACCATTTTCCTATGGGCCATGTCTGTCTTCTCTTCAGACAGAGGCAGTCCTTGTCCTACTCCCAGACAAATATGCCCACCCCATCTCCCTTGTTCCCTTTTCCTCCTCCCTCTTTGTCTATTGCCTATCTTTGTCTCTTACTCCCTGCCCTTTGTCCCTCTGGGGAAAATAAATCTCCTTTGTGCTGCAAACTTGGATACTTTTTTGATACTTTTCCTTTCAGTTCTGACACACACACACACACCCACATTCATGCAGGCAAATTACCAATGCATATAAGATTAAAAAAAAATTTTAAGCCCAGCTCCATCAGTTGTAAGTGGAGCCTTGAGAATCTTCTCATTCTGATTCCCAGTTTCTTTCTTATTAATGAAGGGGGGGGGGGGAGTTCCAGAAAAAAAGGGCATACTGGGAGGAGGAGTCAGGAAGGTTATGAGTTCAAGGCTAACGTGGACTACATAGAAAGACTGCCTCCAGAAATAATTTCTTTAAAATGGAGAAAGCCCGCTTTCCAGGGATAGTGACAGGATTAAATTAGTTGGTGCTTGTGCAGTAACAGCACAGGCGAATGTTCAAACTCCTCAGTCTGCACCTCCTTTCCCTCACCAACCAGCTCCTATCACTGTCCTAAGGGTCCCCCATCTTCCCTCATCCTTAGGGCTTGCTCCAGGGTGCTTCTCTAGAGAGGAATGCCCAACCATAAAGAAATAAAAGCTGAATTTTTAATTGTTTGATCAGAGTAGGTTCTTTTAGAACCCAAATGTCTCGTATACATCACTACTTAAAGGTTTGTCATCCCAGAGTCCAAGGTAGCTCTGTGGCACAAGAGCAGTGAAGGGGAAACTGACCCCAGACAAAGCCTGGGTACTGTAGCCTCACTCTGGCCTTCTCTAGCTCATACTCCATTGGCCAGAGCTCTTCATGGAAAGACCTGGCAGTCCCTCCCCCTTCTTTTCTCCTGCCTTTTTCGCCCACACTGGTAACATCACACATCCTGCCCACTCTACCAACCTCAGGTCACCCACAACAGCAGCATTCTGAGGATCCTGCCTCTTGAAAGAACGCTCCCGTTTTAGAAAACAACCAAGCTGTGGTGAGAGTTACAGCTGGATCTGCAATGTCCCGGCAGGGCTCACATGTGACAGGCTTGGTTGCCCACTTAAGGGCATTAGAAGTTGCTGGACCCTAAGGGTTTGAGAATCACCAAGGGCCAAATTCAGAGTGGATTCACACTATGATGGCACTATGGGGAGGTGTGACCGAGCTGGAAGGAGTAGGTCAGTGGGGGGGGCTTCTTCTTGGCCCCTTCCTGTCCCTCTTTCTACTTCTTGTCCACAGTGAGCTGAGCAGTTCATCTCCTCCACCATGACACTCTGTCTCACTTCATGGCCAGAAATAAGAGAGCAAAGCACTGCCAAACTAAGGGCCGGCCCCACCCCCACCCCAAAGCTGTTAACCAAAATACACATTTTCTCCTCTTAACATGTACCAGGTATTTTGTCTCAGTGATAAAAGCTAAGACAAGGAACACTTGCAGGGTCACTGGTAGCCTGCTGTAAGAGCCCCCATCAATGCCTCTGTCACAGTAGCCAACTCCAGTGTTCACCCATTGAAGGTTTTCAAAATTTGGTCCAACCTGAACCTATAGTCCCAGCCCTTAAAAGACTCATAGGAGCCAGGTGGTAGTGGCACACACACACACAATCCCAGCACTTGGGAGGCAAAGGCAAGTGGATCTTTATGAGTTCTAGGCCAGCCTTGTCTACAGAGCTAGCTCCAGGACAGCTAGAGCTATTACACAGAGGAAACCCTGTCTCAAAAAACAAACAAACAAAAACTGATAGGATTGCCACAAATACAAGGCCAGCCTGGACTACAGAATAAGTCTCTGTCTCAAATAGCAAACAAAATTATGAGGTTCAAAGGAGGGAATATGGTTCTTTTTTTAAAGGAATGAAATCCTGGCATGTGCTACAACATGGGTGAACCCTGAAGAACATTACGCTAAGTGAAATAAACAAGTCACAGAACGAAATGCTAATATGGTTCCTCTGTCTGCTATAGCCAGGTTCACAGAGACAGAAAGCACAATGGTGGCTTCCAGAGACAAGGAAAGGGAGCAAAGTGGGGAATTGGTGCTTCATGGGTACAGCTGCAATTCCAAAGGAAAACATCTAGAGGTGGACAGTAGTGACGACTGCACAGCAATCTCAAAGTGAAAAGGCCACTGTGGCTCTGTATAAAACAGACAGATGATTGTATGTGTTGTGTATTTCACCTCCATTCAAAATAGAAAACAAGAAAAGCTTGCTAGAGCAGGTCAAAGTTGAAGAGGCAAGACCTCACTCATCCTCGGGAAGACAGGCACATACCTGCCTCATGCCTCTTGCTACCCAGAGAAGCCAAAAACCCAATGTGTTCAGACTCAACACACCACCCAGATGAAAGAGAACCCAATGCAGATTGGCATCCTCCTGCCCAGGGACCACTTCCACGTGCCAGAGCCTGTGTGGGTAGCTTCTTCACACAGCTGTGAGGTTTCCTGTATTAACCCAGTAATTGACAAGGAGGCAGGACTTACAGACTCAAATTCCCAGAACTAGTCAGCAGCCCAGGCCATGCCTCAATTACAGGGCTCTGCACATAATAGGTGCTTAATAATGAGAAGAAAATTCAAAAATCTCCCGTGTGTCCTTAGAAGAAAATGCAGCTGTAACCAAAAGCTTCTTAGCTGACCCCATGGGGTCAGGGATATGACTTTCTGCCTACAGAATTCCGGAAGGATTTCCCCCTTCACCTCTTACCTCCGTAATTTATCCAGCCAGTGGCCTCTTATCTCCCCAAGCAAGTGAGTGTCAGCCAGAAACATGGCTTTCAGCACAGGCTTCTGCCTATCGCCATGGGCTAGTGTCTTCACCTCAGGCCAATGGCACTGAAAGATGACTAGGTGGTAGATGAAATATTCACAAAACAGAAGCACGGAGATGATGACAACTGTGAGTTTCAGCAGCAACACTCTGCTCAGCAGGTGGAAGTTCCCTCTTCTCAGTCTCCATCTGACTAGAGCCATATCTCCTGCCCAGGAGTTGCCGGCAGAAGAGGACGGAGCTCATCAAGAACCCTCTGTGGAAGCCTGAGTAGGGTGATGGAGACGGGTCCCACCCTGAGCTGTACCTACAGGGAAGAAGGAAAGAAAAATCCCTGAAACTTGACTGCGCATGTTTCTTACAAAGATGGGTTTGCCCTACAAATTAGTCTTGAAAGTCCAGATGGCCTTCCTTCATATAACCCCAATGTACCAGGGCTTTTCTGTAGGACGCTTAGAATGTTTCTGTGCTTGTCCTGAATCTTGGGTAACCTTGCATCCTGTAAAGGAAGCAGGTTTTTGAGACATCCGAGTAGCATGTCTGGTGAAAAGATGCCCTGAGACATGCTTCAAGCTTCATTCCAGAGACTTCAGAATTCCTCAGCACGGTACTCAAAATGAGTGTGTGACAAGGGCGATGGCCAGCAGGCCTCAGAGAGCCTGGGCATCAGAGAAGCCACCCTAGGAAGTGAGGCCATGGCCAACAGTGAGCAGAGATCCCAAGTGAACTCACAGAGAAAGCCAACAACAGCAATATGGCTATGCAGCTGGCTTGTAGATATGAATCCAAGATTGTATTGGTTTATAGGCACCAAGTCATGAACACACTCAGTGCTAGAGAGTCAACAATTGTCTCTGTGACCCCCAGGCTTTAGGACCACTCATACCCACATCACATACATCCCAGTGCCTGGCTCATTTCACAGTGGCATTCTATACTGAGCCATAATGCAGTGGGTCAAAGTCTTTAAGCATCTTACCCAAAGAAAAAGAGAGGCCAGGTGTGGTGATGCACACCTTTAATCCCAGCATTCAGAAGGCAGAAGCAGGTGGTGAGTTTGTGGTCAACATGGTCTGCATAGCATGTTCCAGGCCAGCCAGAGCTACAAAGTGAAACCCTGTCTAAATAACAGAAAAGAAAACAAGCGAACACATAATTGGAGCCATTGTCCAAAGTTAGCAAATGGCCGCAGAATTGGAAAATGGAGAAGATCACTGGTGGCTTCTCTGATGCCCAGGCTCTCTGAGGCCTGCTGGCCATCGCCCTTGTCACACACTCATTTTGAGTACCGTGCTGAGGAATTCTGAAGTCTCTGGAATGAAGCTTGAAGCATGTCTCAGGGCATCTTTTCACCAGACATGTTACTCGGATGTCTCAATGGTGATCACTCAGGCCAGTGATCACCTTTAATCCTTGCTTTGTGACCATTCAAAAGACAAGGAATGGGGCATAAAAAGAGAAGGTAAAATGGGTGGCCCTGGGGACTCCCTTACTCCTATCAGTTTTGGTGGTGGGAACTGAACTCAAAAATCTCCCACCTGTTCTATTCACCATGTGCCCAAGCACAGAGCCACGCCCAGGCCCTTATTCCCATGTCTTCATTGAATGGCACCATTTATATTAAGTACTTGATTAAAGAAGTTATGTATTAAGTACATCCTTTCCACAAAGAACATCTAAGGCAGCATTGCCTGCAATGCAGAGTCAACTTCTCCTGGAACCTTTCTCAGAAAGCCCACAGCATCGTTATCCCCAGGTCACAGGCCGCTGTGGCTGCCTGCTCCTTACTGGTAACCCTTCACTACTCAGTTTTCTCTACCAAACCACAAGTGCCAAGGAACCAGAATCTCCAGAGACTTTATCTCTCAACTCTAAGTGTCAAACAATAGCATAAATAATAATATAAATGGGGCCAGGGTGTGGATGATGCAAAAAAACCACAGCTCTCACATCAAAAGGAATAAAAGATAGCTTATTCTAGAGCCCACTATGTGTGATCACAGCCTGGGAGCTCCGCATACCACACTCCAAATATAATAACAATTTCACAAAGTTTTTAATAAAAACACAACCAAGAAAATTATAAATCAAGACACTTTCAAATACATTGGTAGAAGCATCAAGTAGGTGGGTTACTGAAAAGCCAGGACACCCCAGCTATCAGGTGCAGATGTTATCTGATGACTTTCTTAGCTTTGGGGTTAGTGGAAATCAGGCTGTCTGTTCTTATTACTCTTAGTGTCTTAGTCACTGTTCTATTGCTGTGAAGAGACACCACGACCAAGGAAACTCACATAAAAGAAGGCATTTAACTGGGGGCTGGCTTACAGCTTTAGAGGATTAATCCATGATCATCATAGAGGAAATAGACAGGCAAGGTGCTGGAGCAGAAACCAAATATTTTATATTCGGTTTATATTCTCCGAGTGTTTTATATCCTGATCTGCAGGCAGCAGGTGGAGAGAGACTGGACCTAGCCTAGGCTTTTGAAGCCTCAGATCCCACCCCCAGTGACATACCTCCTCCAACAAGGCCCATCTACTCTAACATGGTCACGGTTCCTGATCCTTCTCAAACAGTGCCACTAACGGGACCAAGCATTCAAATATTGCAGGGGGGAGGGAGG